CGGAGCTCCCGGTGGCTCCCGGTGGTTCCCGGCGCTCACGGTGCTCCCGGTGCTCCGCTGCCGGTGGCTCCTGGCGGCTCCCGGAGCTCCCGGTGGCTCCCGGTGCTCCCGGTGCTCCCGGTGCTCCGCTGCCGGTAGCTCCTGGTGGCTCCCCTCCCGGAGCTCCCGGTGCTCCCGGCGCTCCCGGTGCTTCGCTCCCGGTGGGCCGCGGTTCCCACACACGCCCGGGGTCCTGGCGCTCGGCCGGCGCGTAGCGGTGACGTCATCGGCGCGCAGCGGTGACGCCATCGGCGCGTAGCGGTGACGCCATCGGCGCGCGCGGCGGCGGCGCAGGCCCCGCGTGTCTCCGGTGGCCATGCGGCGGCCCAACGTGCTCATCACCGGTGAGCGCCGGGACAGCGGGCCCGGCCCGGCCCGGCCCGGGGGGATTCGGGGTCTGGGACCCGGCCCCATCGTGGCCAGGGGAGCTGTGGGGTGCAGGCCTGGGGACCCGGCCCGGGGGGATTCGGGGTCCCAGCCCGGGGGGGTTTGTGGCGCGGGGGTCCCAGCCCGGGGGGATTTGGGGTCGCGGTCCGGCCCCATCGCGGCCCGGGGAGCTGTGGGGCGCAGTCTTGGGCTCACTGGGGGCTGGGGTCCCAGCCTGGGATGCCGGCCCGGGGTGATTCCGGGTGCGGGTCCTGGCCCGGGGGGATCTGGGGTCCCGTCCCGGCCCCACCGCAGCCCGCAGTGGTTAAGCCGTGGGACAGCAGGCTGGCCGGGGTGTGGGGTCGCAGCCCGGGGCGGTTCTGCCGCTCCTTCGTGAGAACGCGCGGCTGCTCCGTTTCAGCTGGGCGTTTGGAGTGGGTGGGATGTTCCTGGGACCCCTCACGGTGTGAGTGCCGTTCTGCACGCTGCTGAGTTCTCTGCCTGTTCTCTGCCTCACTGCCCTCGACTGCTTCTCCTCGCCCTGCAGCTTTCCCCTTTTCATCCCATGACCTGTCCGAAGTGGGCTGTCAGAGGGCTCCAGCTCACCCTGGGCTGTTGGAGGGGACCCGCAGGCTCTCCCCTTAGCCCTGGCTGTGGGTTTGCTCCCCAGGCACGCCGGGAGTCGGGAAAACCACGCTGGGAAAGGAGCTGGCCTCCAGAGCTGGGCTGAGCTACGTCAACGTGGGGGACCTGGCCAAGGAAGGTGGAGTGTCACAGCAGCCACGGGGACGCGGCTCTGCGGGGCTGCCTGGGGCACTGGGAGCCTCTGCACGCCTCTCGGGACAGCTGGGCTCTGGGGAAGGCTCTGGGGGGCTCAGAGCTCTGCCAGGGCCTGGGGGGCTCCAGGAGAGCGGCAGAGGGACTGGGGACTGGGATGGAGGGACAGGACGCAGGGAATGGCTCCCAGTGCCCCAGGGCAGGGCTGGGTGGGATACTGGGAATGAGGAATTCCTGGCTGGGCTGGAATTGCCAGAGCAGCTGGGCTGCCATGGATCCCTGGCAGTGCCCAAGGCCAGGCTGGACACTGAGCTGGAACACTGGGACAGTGGGAGGGGTCCCTGCCATGGCAGGGGTGGGCTCTGAGGTCCCTTCCAGCCCAAACACACCTGTGGTTCTGTGAATTAAATTAATTAACTTCTGCAGGCATGTCTGCAGCAGCACTCGTGGTGCTAGGTAATAAATAACAAACTCACCCTCATGTGGCTTTTTGAACAAAGTGTTCCCTGCCCCAAGATTGGCCTTTTGCCTGCAATCTGCTGAGACAAAACCAGCAATGTGAATTAATCGTGGTAGCCAACAAACGCTGGGAATTCCCTGTGCTGCAGGAGAGCTCTACGAGGGCTTCGACGAGGAGTACAACTGCCCCATCCTGGATGAGGACAGGGTAAGTGCACCCCGGGGCCCCACTCTGCTGGGGCTGTGAGCTGCACCAGCCCCGCTGTGTCTGAGCAGTGCAGGTGAGCCCCTGTGTGTCTGAGCAGTGCAGGTGAGTCCCCTGTGTGTGTGTGTGCAGTGCAGGTGAGCCCCTGTGTGTCTGAGCAGCCCCAGGTGAGTCCCTCTATGTGTCTGAGCAGTGCAGGTGAGCCCCCCGTGTGTGTGTGCAGTGCAGGTGAGCCCCTGTGTGTCTGAGCAGCCCCAGGTGAGCCCCTGTGTGTCTGAGCAGCCCCAGGTGAGTCCCTCTATGTGTCTGAGCAGCCCCAGGTGAGCCCCTGTGTGTCTGAGCAGACCCAGGTGAGTCCCTCTATGTGTCTGAGCAGCCCCAGGTGAGTCCCTCTATGTGTCTGAGCAGACCCAGGTGAGTCCCTCTATGTGTCTGAGCAGCCCCAGGTGAGTCCCTCTATGTGTCTGAGCAGCCCCAGGTGAGTCCCTGTGTGTCTGAGCAGCCCCAGGTGAGCCCCTGTGTGTCTGAGCAGCCCCAGGTGAGTCCGTCTATGTGTCTGAGCAGTGCAGGTGAGCCCCTGTGTGTCTGAGCAGCCCCAGGTGAGTCCGTCTATGTGTCTGAGCAGTGCAGGTGAGCCCCTGTGGGTCTGAGCAGCCCCAGGTGAGCCCCTGTGTGTCTGAGCAGCCCCAGGTGAGCCCCCTGTGTGTCTGAGCAGCCCCAGGTGAGTCCCTCTATGTGTCTGAGCAGCCCCAGGTGAGCCCCCGTGGGTCTGAGCAGCCCCAGGTGAGCCCCCGTGGGTCTGAGCAG